AAGAGACAGGGGTGTCCCCTCTTATTCTCACTCGTGCCAACGACTCAGATCTCGGTTATTCTCAGACTCATTCATGACTCAGTTGGATTAGGCTCCTAGGGAAGGAGTGTTCTTCACGCCCCTTGACCCATAGGTTCCCTAACCTCTCTTATATTCGACCAACATCCAATGCCATGGTTCGCTCATCAATCTGTACTCAAGGTTTCTCTTCTCATAGCACAATCCTTAATCCATCCAAAATTCACAATACACCCTTCCCAACGAGTCTCATCCCCAGCCCCATGTTATTGTTTTGTGTACCCGCTTTCAAAGGTAGCTCATTCAGAAAGTAGCCTCAGAAGCTACCTTCTAACTTATAGTGCCACAATCTTAGCTGGCCCTCTTATCACTTCATCCTTAGCAAGCTTACTCATACTATACATTCTCTTGTCGTTCCCATGTCTTGCAAAAAAAAAAAAAAAAAAAAAAAAAAAAAAAAAAAAAAAAAAACAGGAATCTTGTTCAATGCTTAATCGACCTCTAGTTCCTATTGTTGCCTTGTGCCTCAGCTTGCCCGATCCCTTGTCCACCCTATTCCTTGGTGGGCTTTCTAACCCCCAGGCGGTAGGTCTCAATTTCTCTCATTTTTCTTGCAATCTCCTGTAATTCCGTTTCACTGAAAAAGTCCAACGGCGTGGCTTCCACCCCTGCCTTAGCGAGTTATCGGGCCTTGATGATCCACTCGTGCCTGATCATATTGGTTCATTGTTGAAACTAATGACTGGGCGTTGTCCCAAACTCATCCTCCCATCTGAAGGCCTCATCGCGCGGCTGGTGCATCGGGGGCCGCCTCTCTTCCCTAGGCCTGAAGATTTCATCCCTCTCATCCCCGCTGTTGATTTCTATGATCTCTTGCACATCCTCCTCCTAGTCTTCCTCATCTTCCGTCTATATGGGGCTATACCCTCCCGCTAGATTCTTTGGATCGTAAGTAAAAGGAATTTTTGTCCCTGTCTCTATCCTTCACAACTGTCGTGGCTGCTTCGTCCTTCAAGCGGACTTTCCCTTCTTTCCTCGCCCTCCTCATGCTCATTGCGCACGTCCTGTCTCTCCTCACTTTCCCCTTGCCAAGGTTCACGTTGTTCGCCCCTATTGGTTCCATTATCGTCACAGGCCTGAGCCTTATCCCCCATATCTGCATTGCCCCCTTCTCCCACATTTTCCCTTTCCTTCTCGCCCTCACTGTCAAATGAGATTTCTATACCTTCTCCCTTGCGGAGGGGCGAGAGTCTTCTACATATGCACTTTTTTCCACCCCTGCCTACCACCGGCCCGTCCATGAGCCCTATGTACAACTTTCTCTTCGTTGTCCTCCTCCCTTGGCTTGGTCCTGTTTCTTCCCCTCCGATAGGCCTGTTGATTGTCCCGCTGTCGTTCTCGTTGCCGAATTTCATTTTTGTTTTTTCTCGTTTTTCTTCTAAGTCCCGTATAACAAAACAACACCTGCAATGCCCCTCATACACTCGTTCCCCCAATCCGGTAGACAAATCCCCTTTCCCAGAATGCTCCCAGTATCCTTCGCATCATCCCCCTTTTATACATTTCCCTCCCTTATGCAAATGTGCCGTTCGTGAAGGTCTCATTATTTTCCCGTAAAAAACTATGGTACAATGCCCCAACAATCCTTCCCGTCGTCGCACAAGCCAGTTATTGGAAAATCCCAAGTCATGCTGCCTTTCAACCTCAGTCAGTCCAACCCATTGCCCCAACCCAAAAAAAGAAAATGACAGTCACACGAGCGCAGTCAGAGATTGAACCATAGTGCGGGCATGGTCGTTGTAAGTCCTTAACTTGTTGCCCCTCAGTTTCCTTATCTTCGGCCTCCTGAAGACATTGTTCTACTGGGTCCCGACTTAGAAACCGGACCAATCGTTGCCCCGGGAAGGGCCCTTTCAATCCAGTTCCATCCAAATCTTCCAGTTCGAAGGTGTTCAGTCTCACCCGCTTGGCGACCCGGTAGGGGCCTTTGAACCTCCTCCCCAGCTGCCCAGACCAAGTACTTTCTAGTTTCGAGGTCCTTAGCAATACTTTCTCCCCCACCTGAAGTGGTTCCTTTCTGATATTCTTAACCTGGTCCCACCTTGCTTTGTCCCTCGTCCTGCTGTCTAGCACCCGATTGGTGATGTCTTCCATGACCTCTTCGTTCTTAAGGACCTGCTTACATCTTGCCTCGATTAACTCTTCCGTAGTCATTCGCAGATCATCATCTAACTTGTTCCAGGTAGGTATCAAGGCCTCAATGGAAAAGTCGATCTCCCTTCCATACCAAAGTTCTGCTGGGATACATCCCGTTGTCCTCTTGGGTGTCATGTTCTCTCAAAAGACAGCCTGCTTGAGATACCTAGGCCAGCTTCCCAGATGATCTGCTGCGAGTTTCGCAATCGTGTTCTTTAAGGTTCGATGCCCTCTTCCCACAGGTGCATTGGTCTCTGGGTGATACGGCTCAATGAATTTGATTGGTACGCAAAGTCTCTTAAGCATCCCCAATACTTCTTGGTTTACAAATTTTGTCTCATTGTCTGCTATAAACCTCCTGACGAAAGGATGTCTCAAATAGAAGTCTTCTATCCAGTCCGCTACACTTCTCCCTCTCTTTTTCTTGAGAGCGACCGCCTCCACGAACCCACTCAAGTTGTCTCGCGCATCTAGAATATACCTGTACCCATCTGTTGATACATGCATGACCGCAAGGTCAAGGTGGACTAGATGTTATGACCCTAGCACCCGTGTAGGCCTAAGTGGCTCAAACACACGTGTCGAGCTTCGTTCATGGTAGATAAGGCATGTCTTGCAGTATATGGCGACCATGCTTGTCATGCCTGGCTAATAATAAAGTGACGTTATTTTTGCAAGAGTTCCTTTAGACGACCGATGTCCTCCTGCTAATCCGTCGTGCATTACTTGGATAACGTCCAACTGCCTAGATCTTCCGCACACAACTCTTCTAGGCATAGCACCTTCTTCCTTTCGGAACAGATGGTCGCCTCTTAGGACGTACCTTTCGGCCTCCTCCCTTGCTTTAACGCTGACTTCCAAGGGTTGCTTGTTTCCTACCAGCAACAACCCGATCTCTCGAAAGATCCCTTCGTATATCTGAGCGTAGAAAAACTCATTCCCTTCCTGGTCCTCATTCTTTCTTTCCTGCATCTGGTTTACCACCCATTGCAACTTTTTCTTTTCCCAAGATTCCACTAAGCTCATCACGACTTTCCGACCTCCCTCAACCGCCATTGTTATTAGCTCCTCCTTCGGTCCTACTATTGCTCCCCATGAATCTCTCTCATTTTTACAACCTCGAGTGGTGATGGGTCCTTCTCTAAGTTCCGCTACTACGGCAGGCGCCCCCTTCTCCAAAGTCCGGATCAACAGTTCTCCTCACGCGCATTCTTCGCCCATCATTTCGTTGTCCACCGCAAGAGTTTCTCCCTCGAATTCAAGGAACGAGTCTATGGGCTCTGCATCCTCCACCCCTTCGGGAGTGATGCAGACCCGACTCAGCCCATCCGCCTTGTTTCTAATTCCAGCAATCCGTTCGATCTTGTAATCGAACTCCCAGATAAATCCTACCCATCTTCCCACCGTCGGATCTATAGGCTTGTAGTTCTTTAAGGCCCCTGCGACATTCGTCGGATCGATGCTTAAGATGAATCGTCTCCCAAATAGGTAGGCCTGAAAGGTCTTTGAACTGCGAGTACCGTCGTTCTGCGGAGTTCAAGGGTCCTCCATCCATTTCTAGGATGAACAGTCGTCCCACTTCGTCATTAAAACAAGGCACTGACAAGGCGATTTGCTCAGATGTCAATATGTCCTTAAGGGTTTAGCCGGCTCCTTCTCGCTCCTCCGTCCAATCCATGGTTCCCTCTTCTCTGATTATGGCCCGGATAGGTTCGGCAATCTTCGCAAAATTCTTAATGAAGATCCTTCAAAATCCGACCACGCCTAGCAACGCTCTTACCTCCGTTGTCGTGCGCAGGGGTGTTGGTTATTGTGATATCTTGTCCGTCCTCGCCGGATCCGACTTCCTACCGTACGCGCCACAGCGAATCCCAATATGGTTACTTCCGCTACTGCTAGAATACTCTTTGGTCCACTAGCCGTGATATTGTATACTAGGAATCGGCGGAGTAAGTCTTTGATGTCTTGTAGATGGTCCCACGCAAACCTTCGGATTTCGGCTGGACTTCCGTCTCGTCCTTTTCTTGCGCGCCTTTGATCGGATTATCGTCGATGTAGGGTTTGCACTTCTCTGGAAACATATCTCCGGCTACGGCGAGCATCCTCCTTTGCGCTTCGGCTACCACGTTCGTAAAGCCCATAGAGGTCACCTGCATGTGTAACTGGCCTACGGGGTGTGCATTGCGGTGTATGGCCTATCCCTAACATCCAATGGAAGCTGGCCGTACCCTGAGTACAGATCGATCAGGGAGTAAATGCTCTGGCCGGCGTGCGACTCTGGTAATAAATCGGTCTGATGCAGCGAGCTAGCATCCCGGATGGTTACCGCATTCAACTTCTGCAGATCCTGAATCCATCTTAGTTTTTTGTTGGGCTTCCGAAAAACGAACCACCGTTCGCGTATGACGACACTGTAGGTTCCGCGACGAAGGAGTCCATCTTTGCTCGAAGAAGGTCCGTTACGTCCCCTGCTATCCCTAATTCATAGGACGGACCCTTGTCATTCCAACACTCATGTTCTACCGTGTGGATTCTGACCGGAGGAATCAGCTTCGCGTCCAGCCGCCCCTTTCGGTGATCACTAAAAGCAAATGTCAGGTGAAACTCTTGGCAAGTTCTTTTGATCAGGCGGTTCTCCTCTTTCGTTAGGAATCCATCTACCCCTATCTTCATCGTATCGGCTACCTCATCTAGTATCCGATGCCCTTCCATCGCTCTTCTCTCTTGGATCACTCGAAGGACTTCCTCTTCCTTCTCCATAGCCTCTTCCTTCGATGTCTCTAGCAGGATCGAGACTGATTTTGTTTTTTTCCCTATCGGCTTGTACTTTCGAACACTTCCTTCCGGGATCTTTCTCCTAAAAAATGAACGGTCGGGATTGCCCTTGTTGCCTCAGCGATTCGTGGTTGAATACTAACTAATTTCCCATTCAGACAATATCCCTTTTGCACCTCTCCTTCGAATTTGGCCAAGGTTGCTGAGTCCACTCCTACCTTGTGGTATCTGAGGGCCTTGATGAGCTGTAACAAATCAGGGATCTCGAGTGCGACTTCTGGCACGTCCATGTGTACTTCTTTCCGTCTGGGAAGGCTGGCACCGAGTTCGACTTCTGATTCCTTTTCTGCTACCATAACGCCCAAGATTTCGTCCTCTTGCCTCCTCTTCTTCTGGGGCAGGCCCATCTTGATCCATTCCTTCTTGTTGAAAGCATCCTCAATCATAATTTTTACCCTTTCTCTCATGCCCTCCATCCGCGCGAAAGCCCCTTTTCGTGCGCTATCCTTGAACGACGGCGACCACGTTCCCAACTTCCCCTTCGGAGGGTTTCCTCCCGTCCCGAGGAGTCGGAGGAGCTCACCCCGACCGGTCACTGGGTCCTCTATATCTACCATGTACGTGTCATCGTGCAAGTACATGCATATCGTTTCTACGTTTGCGCACCATGGCCTCCCGAGGATAATGTTGTGATCCATTTCCTCCATTACGGTCATTCGCTGAAACGACCAGATTGACTCCCTGATTCCTGCCTTGACTGCACATTTTGTGACATACCCTGGGAACGAAATTTCCCCAATGGCTCCCCGGATGCTCCCCGTTACTTCCTTATTTACCGTACAACCTGTGATTGTTGCGAAATCTCTCCTTATGAGAGTGATTTCTGCTTCCCCGTCTACTAATGCGTCGGTATGATGAGTTTCGATCTGAATCTTCAATTTTCCTACGAGTAGCGCATGGAAACTGAGCTTTGTCCCGGGAGGTGCCCTCATGACTTCGCCACCTTCTCGGTCTGGCAAGCTCAAACGTATGTCTGCAAAGGCTTTCTCAAGATCCTCCAGATCCCCGCGACTTCTTTGAAGGTTAGCAACCTCTTGCGGAGCTTCCTCCTCCCTTCCTTCTTCTGGTAATTTGGGGTTTTCGTCTATCTCTACTCGCCGTCGAGTCAACAGTTGCCTAAGCCCTTTGAGCAACCTAGGGCTAGCCTGCAGTACGGTCTGAAACGACACCGACACCATGGTTCCTAGTAACTTGCTAAGGGTGTCGTCGATTTCGTGCACGGTTAAGATCGGGATTTGATACCGAAACTTTTTCTTGGCAGCGGTAACCTTGTCCGCAGGCTCCTGTTCCCTAGGCTTCCCATAGACTTTCTCTGGTTCTCCGGCCTCAGGCTCTGCATGGGGTACGGAGCTTCCAGCAACCTCCTCCATCACGGTGTCACGGCTAATCCTTCTTCACGCCGTCCCTAGCCGAGTAGTCGCGTTCACCCTATCACGTCCGTCGTTTTCCAAGATGAAGTTGACCTGCGGCCCGCGGCCCCGAAGTTGATCCCAGACAATTTCAACCACCGGCTCAGCTTCTATCGCAGCTATCTCTAACTTATTGAGCATGGTAATAGCTCATCGCATCCCTCCTTGCGAGTTCCAATTCACCCGTTCGCCCTGTGGTCCGAATATCTCTCTCTTTAACGACTTGGTACATCTCCTTTTTAATATATCATGGTTGAGCTTTGGGCAGGCACCCACATAATGTCCCATCGCGGTGCAGTACTTGCATTGCTCGTTAGCAGGATCTTTTCATCTGAATCCTCGATTGGCTACACCTGGCGGAACTACGGCTTCCTAGGGAGGGAAGACGGATCGGGATACTTGCGCGTGCATAACCAGTAGCGCATTCTCCACCCTCTCAATTTTGTGGTTGACTCCGTGCACCCGTTCGTGTAAGCTTTCAATCCCCTTCTTTACCTTGTCGCCTGTCTTACCGTTCAGGTCGTTGACCTCCCCTTCCTTAAGCAAGGCCAACGTCTCGGTCACTATCGTCTTTTCGGCCAGGTCCGTTACGGTGCTAAAATCCACGTCCCTAGTGTTTACGAACTTGCTCGTCTGCTGGTAGACTGATAGAATCTTGTCTTTATCGAACTCGGAGAATTGCCTGAGAAAGTATTTGCTCATTATTCGGTCCGTAACCCCGGGGATCCTCAGCGCTACCAGGGTGAACTCCGGTAGGAAGTCGTTGTACGTTGCGAAATTCTTCCTCTGAACTGCCGCTAAATTGGCCTCCGTAGCCATTTTCTCCGCTGCCAGATATTTTCTCATCATCACATCCCGGGTCTCCTTCCAAGATCGGCTTGCGGCCACAATGACCATTATGTCCCGCCCTAGACTCAGTGACACATGCTGGCCTAGGTGGTCCATTTTTTCTACTTCGGTCCATTTCAGTAACGCAACTAGGTTCTTATAGTCGATTAGAAACTCCGTGATATTTGCCCCGTCAAACGTCAACTTTTTCTTAGCGTCCGCTAGGTAGCCCTGATTTTTGTTCAGTGCTCGTACGAGGGATGATACTATCTTCTTAAGGCCGCCCTCGGAGCTACTGGCCTCGCCTACCATACTGATATCCGGTCCTTCCTTGTCGGCCTTCTGTCCCTCCCTATTCTTTCCAGTTCCTTCCGGGTCGAACCATGCCAACACCCTTTCCCTGAGGCTCCAAAGCCCTTCACACCCCCGCGTTACTGCCGGCGTAGTCGGCAGACGGCTAGCCCTACTATCTATGGCTGGCGGATTTGTAGCTTTCTCCGCTTCCATCCCCGGAGAGTTCTTTCTTTCTTTCCTCCTTTTGCTCGGCGTTCCCCCACAATCGCTACCCTTATCCCCTTGCCCATTTCCGCCTCGGTCGGTCCTCCTTTCGTCCCGTGGTTCTTCCTGCAGAGGGTCTTCTTCGTTCCTAGTCATCATTTTCTCGATTAATCTTGCCTTGTACTCCGCGGTCCTCTTTTCTATTTCTGCTAGTTTGCGCCTCACATTCGTGACCCTTACTTTCTTAGACACAGCTCCCTCTGAATTTCGGGGGCTTGTCCTATCCTTATTCCTGCCCTCCTTGGTTTCCTCAGTCCCTTGCCTGCTTCCCCCGGCTTTCCCTGAGCTTTCCCCTGAGGAGATTTCCTTCCGGTTCCCTTTGGTACCATCCGGATTTATCGATTCTCTATCTTTCTGCCCTTCTTTGCTCTACACGGCACTGCCTCCTAAGCTTGGTCCTCCTTCGCTCTTACGGTTATCCGTCTCATCCTCCATTGCCATTTTGCCTAGTTCTGCATAAGCCAAAGAATTCCCAGGACACACGCAACGCGAGGCTTTTAGGTTCCCTAGGTCCCCGGCTTCGTTGGCTTATCTTTATTCGGGAAATAACCTTCTCCCTATTTTCGTTTCCTGATTGCTTCCCAGAAGGAGGGAGCCAAGACTGACCCTGCTGCCCTGCCGAGCTAAGGGCGTGACTTAGTTTCCTTTATCACAGGCTCGTTTAGAGCGCCCTTGCCCCGTCGGGCCGGTACGTAGGAGTCCGAGTTAGGCATCCTGTTAGGGAAAGTTTCCCGAGCAGTATTCCCCTTTTCGGCCTTTAGGGTCGCGGCAACCATTAGGAGTCTACCCCTTTCCTTCTTTATTGTGCAGCGGGTTCTGATCATGTGGGTCCGAGGCCTTTTCTTATTTCCATCGACGATCTTCTGTTCGTAGCGGACTATACTCGATTTGCCCTATTGGCCTGCCTGCGGGTGCTAGTCCCGTTCTCGTCCTTGCAGCCCTTCCGGTTCGATAGGCTCTTCGAATAGTTGCGCCACCCCCGCTACATAACTTTCCCCTACCTCGATTTCCCTTTGGATTATGCATTCGCATCCCGCCCAGTCTAGCCGTGGCGCCCTAAATATTAGGATGTGGACGACTTCCAGTAACTCGTGGGCCCTGTTTCCCCAGAACGGCCCATGCTCCACAGCGACATCGTAGAACATCCCAATGATCGGGGAGGGGAAGTGGTCTACCCAGACTATCGCCGAGTCTGCCAGCTCCTGCGCCCTCGAGAGACTCCCGAAGACGAGGTTTATCATAAAACGGGGAACTTGGCACCTCAGCAGCGTGGTAGGTGCCCTGAATTCCCTCCAGCCTTCCATTTCCACCCGGGTAAGTAAGTCCACGTTTCTTCTATCCCGGACTGATTGTCCTATCCGTGTCAACACTCGGGCCGCCCTCCGAAAGACGGGAGCCAGCTCGTGACCTTGCGCTATTCCTATCCCCATTAAGTGCCACCCAGCCTCAGGTAGGTACAGGACCCCGGTTACCTCTAAACTGGAGAATAGATCATCCCCTGGTCCCCGGTTGATTCTCATCCCCGTCCACCGACATTCTACCAACATGAAGGCGGTGTCTCTCCCCAAGGTTACGGCCCGCCATTCTACGTCGAATCCCCGATAGTTGGAACTCGATGGGAGTGATACTTTCCATCGTCCGCCGTTATTCCAGGGAGGTCCGGGGTACCGGGGCTGACATTCCATTCGCACATGGGGATGGCGTTCCATTCGCACACGTCTTGCTGCCATTGTTGCCTTGGCGATTCCCTACATAGGCCACATAAAGAGGGTTACAGTCAATCCTTAGTAAACGTTCACCTACTGCCCCCTTACCCTTCATGTTTTCATTCTTCTTCCCTGATCCCAACTATCCCTCCATATCCCTAGGAGCAGCAACCCCCTCCGGTTGTTCGTACAACCGGTAAAGGTCATCTATGTAGGTTGCACCCCGACCTACTTCCCGCCGGATGACTCTCCACATAGCCTCATCACTTATTTGTGGAACTCCTGGCCTAGTATTTACTGCTGCTCGTAGTATACAAAACACCTCGTGCCCCTGTTCGTCTTCAAAAGACCCCATCTTTAGGAAGGTCCGGTAGTATTCCTAATACATTAATGCTTCGTCAAAATCTAGCCTAGTTACGGCAGCTACCGCCTGCTCCACTCGCTCTATGCCCCCCAGTCGTCTTAGTAGAAAGGGTGACAGACTCATTCGTATGACCTCATTTGGTAACTTAAAGGCCCCTGCTGCAGCGACTTTTACCTCAGCCGTCACGTCATCTCGTACTGGATCCGCGAACTCAAACCCCTCTCGCCAGGTTATTTGCCATGCTCCTTCAAACATTCGCACGGGGTCATCTCCGGGAGCCAATTCAATCCCAAAGGTCCGCCATCCTTCTTCCGACAGGTGTAAGGATCTCGTCGCATGCACGCGCCCCGGGAGGTCCAAATTTATGCCCCCGAACTCCCCTCTCGCACGCCATTCCAACTCTACTACTAGGTACACCGTGTCTTCCACCAGTTCTACCCCCACCCACTCCATTACCGGGTTACTTACCAATTTTTTTGCTGGCAGGCTTATTTCGACCCTGCCGCCCGATGCTCTTGGTGGTAGGATCCCGCGAGGCCTATCCTCCCAGAATGTCATTCGTCGGGTTATCTTGCAATGTCCCCTTTACGGCTTCCTTAGTCCGATTGCTGCACCCACCGAGATTCCATGCCTTTCGTGCTTTAGTCTTTAAGCACTGTTTACCTATCGTACATTGGTTCTTGCTGCCATCCCTGCCTCATACACATACAAGTCTTCCTCCCCCTTTTGGTGTTGCTACCTTCCTTGTTTCAACCCCTCGCATCCCCTGCTAACTAATGTACACGCCCCCTTTTTTTATGCTACATCCCGATTCACCTGCACCCTCCATACTCCCACCTCTCTGCGGTGTCCGATTTTCGGGTCCCTCTAATCGAACCATAGTACCTCAAACAACGTAAAGACATCGTCCACGTAGGACGGCGCGGCCGCCGCCTCCCGGCTAACTATGGCGTCCCAAGCTTCCGCGTCTGCCTCTAGGCGGTCGTACTTACCTATCCTCAGGACGGTGATGACTTCACTGGCTTTATCACCGTAGAAGGGCCCATATTTTAAGGAAACCCTAAGGAATTCCTCGGACAGCCAGGCACATTCTATGTGTACCTCCCTCATGGAGTCGGCCACGTCTGCTATGTGCTCGAATCCCCCGAACCAGTCGGTCACGAACGCGGGCACCCACGCCGTTGTGCGCAGGCAGGGAGGCTTGAGTTCCTTCCATCCTCCCATCACAACCCTGCTACTAACTTCGTCTCACCCCTCATCGGCGAACCTCTTGCCTTCTTTTCGGGTTCGCGCCTCAACATCCCCTAGAAGCCACATTTGATCTTGTCCCATTGCTAAAGTAGTGCAAAATAGGTGTCACCCATCTTCGGAAAGGACAATCATTCCGACCGACTCCACTTTGCCCTCTGYTATCTCGTCCCAACCTTCCTCTTCCCTTATTGGGTTCCAAATCCGTTTTATCCATACATATGATAATTCCCGGGCAACCTCAACCCCCACCCAGTCGCACGTGGTCCCCCTCCACTCGTTTTTC